AAAAAATGCATAGAGATGGGTAATAAATGCATAGATATAGGGATAATAGGTATTAAAATAAAAAAAATTAAAAAAAACAAAATGTTTAGGAGAAGTCGTGAAAAACTAAAATTCTAAACCAAAATTGAACTTATGTGAAAAACAGAAATTAATAACCAAAATTTTAGGAAAATGTTAGATTAAATTTTTAAAATGAGTGTATGCTTAATCTAAAATATTTTAAAATGAATGCCTATATCAAAACACCCCTTATTCTATATATATTAATGTAAATATATTGTTTTATTTAATTGTGTCGTAATAAAATATATAATTTGTACATTTGGGCTTACACAAAAGAAGGGGATGAATTTGGGGTGGGCTTAATTAGACCCAGCCTAATGAAAAGCCCACAAACAAATTGGAGACCTAAATGTCCAATTAATTTCTTGGATCAATTGGAGGACAGGATTCAAACGCAAAAGCTCATTTAAATTATGAAAGAAACACTTCTTTTTAATAGTACAAATGTTTTTATGCACTAATTTTATGTACAAATGATTTTATGAAAGAAACCTTCTTTTGAATCCTGTGAGTTGAAGAAAATAACACTAACTATCAGAGCAATCCATCACTTAATATCACTTGCTAAGAAAGAGAAATATTTAGATGATTAGTAAAATGAAATAAATAGTTAGGCACATGGTTTATAGATTCATGTAAGAAAAAAAAAAAAAAAAAACAAGAGGGGAAAGTCGCTTGTGAATCCCTTTCCGAAATATGTCCAAGTACATCTAGAAAAGGCACTTCTCCTTTTTGACATTTTATTTTTGGCTAACTTATCGGTATTTCTAACACTTATCACTTGTGAGATAAGCAGTTCACATTCGCATTCACAAGTTTTTTGGACCCAATTTTGCATAATCAGCCTGGTTATTATACACCATTAGATGAAAGAATATCTAAGGTCGTTGAGTCTCACGAGTAAAGCAGAAAATCAAAGAAAACCATATTGTATAAGGAAAACTAATGAAAATGATTTCAAAACTTTGAATTTTAACAAAAAACCATGTAATAATTTTATTTAATGGTTAGAACAAAACTCATTATCAACTTAGCCCAATAAAACAGGCCCAACCAAAGTAATTTATCGAGATTCCGATTTTACCCCTAAAGTCAATCACTGGCCCGTTTATTTCTGTCGGTCCCCTTGGACTTGGAGAAGAAAAGCTGATTCACATCAGTTGGGGCTCCCCTGCTCTCGTGAATCCATGAAATTCAATCCATTGCTGTGCTATTCTAATCGCAAACCCTAAATCCCAAACTCCTAAAGCCCAAATCAGAATGGGCAGCAAAAGCGAAGGTAAGAGAAGAAAGCAATTGGAGGACTCAACCGACGATGGTAATAAATTACTTGGGTTGATTAGATCTGCTATGCACGTTCTCATACTTGGACTATTTTTTGGACTGTTGTGTGTTAAATTTGAACAATCAATTACTGGGTTTTGATTAATTTGTAAATGGGATGTGCTATCTACACATTTTTTTAAGTTTTAGTTGTCGGATTGGATGAATTGAAGAAAATCAAATGACAGAAATCAACAAGGATGTGTGAAAAGTAAAAAATAAGTGTATGGATATCATACCCCTTTGTAAATTTATACATATATGAAAGGAAATGGTTGTCCTTTTTTGCTTCGATTTTCAACGAATGAACTTGTTTAGTAGTCTATGGATTTGAAAATTAGTATTGAAATAAATGGCCATGCAATAAGACGACGGGGGGTTTTGCCATATTATGACAGCCTTTGCTTCTTCTTTTTTTCTTTTAATACAATATTTCACAAGAAAACATGAGATGAACAAATGGTGTCATGTAGCTATTAGAATTTGCAATTGGAGCATTTTTTTTTTTTTTTGTGTTGAGTGCGTTAGAATCAATAATTTGCAACCTCAGCTCATTTTTGGCATTTGTGCAAAACTACACTGCTGACAAAATGGGATTGCTTGGAAACATATACAAGAGTTCAATAATGAGTGGATGAGGCTGGATTAGGATTTACTAGTAAATTTTACCCGCACGTTGTTGCGGGAGCGAAAATATAACTATAGACTATATTTTTAACATATAAATAACCAAAGACTAAGATAAACATTAAGTAGAAAATGGAGCAAATATTTTTATAAAGCTGTCTAAGTTTATGTAACTTATAGAAAAGACATTGTGAAATGCCTTGTCATTGATTTACAAAAATGGCTAGTCTAGTATTCCCCATTGACAGTTACATGAACATAGAATATCCCATAAGAGCACATTTTCCTTGAAGCAGTCACTGCATATAAAACTACTGGACATATTACAAATAGTCACTGCACATTTTCTTTTAAATTGGATTATCGTTGCCTTATTACAAATAGTGCCCGCGCGTTGCTGCGGGTCTTAAAACTACTGGACATAAAAGAAGAAAACAGTCAATGCAAACTTGTAATAGATAGTTTGTAATTAACAGGTTTTTAGTATGTTCATGCTATTTAAACACAGAAAATATAATAAGAAAAAGAAGTAGAGTGTTGGCAGAAAGTGATGTAAGTTGCGGCATACCTGTAGTCAAGTCTGTGTAATTGATTTTAGTTGTGAACACCGGTAACATGTACAACTCAGAGAACAAAAAACAGCAGAAACTGAAGAAGAAAATGATGTGCACATAGAACATACTGCAGTAACTATAAATTAAGGTTAGAAGTGTTTTAATAGTGATATAAATTTATGGTGAAGAATTATGTATAAGAGGATAACTGCTTTTATGAGTGTGAGTATATAACACGTCAAAACGATTATTAATAATTAAAGAAATATTTGAAGTAAAAAAATATACATTTGATGTTGAAATTCGAGATAATAAATGTAGCTGTAACTTATTAGAAGTGTTTAAATTGGCATTAACCGGTCGATAACAGTTTGTTCAATTATATTGAATATGATTAGACCATGTTACGATACGATGTTATAGGAAAACGAAGAAAAACTTATAAAAGCTATTAGAAACAAAATATAATTGTAAATATAAAGTTGTGTCATTTGATTCTAAATAAGCATGTATATACTGATAGCAAAACGAAATCGTTAGGGTTTTATCCAAATTAGGAAAAATCTAAAATAAAAATTGAAAGACAACCTTAGATGAAAAAAAAAAAAAAGACTAACACTGTGAATTCTTAGCCCCCCGACTATCCATTGCATTTGGTAATTTTTTAATTTATACAAATAAAGAGTAAGTGAAATTGGATGCATACCTGGGATGAGAATTTGAATAACGTTTCAGAAAATATAAGTTTGTTGCAATTTAGTACAACAAAAATGAAAATTGATGTCTTTTGCAATAAAATATATTTAGTGATAGTGTTATATAAGACTTAGAAAAGTATTGCAAATCATGCTATGATTAAATAGTAGTTTATTTGGCAATATTATAATTTTTAAAACAAAGTTAAATGTTGGCGATCTAAGACGGATCAGATTTACGTAAATTGGTAAACTTAGGTTTAATTATATGGAGTAAGAATCATCATTTCCGTCTTTTCTCTTCAGAGGAATTAACTATTACCAATTTATATAGATACTTTCTTCTTCTAACTTATTGTGAATACATGGTTAATTATTTGTTTGTCTACCAAAAGGTTTAAGGCTGACATTTGGAAGTATAAACAGACATCCTTCCATTAAAGATAAATCCTGCCCATATTTTGTAAATCTGTGAAGGAACATATTAGATTAAAATATGTGGACATGGTATATCTCTAGTAAAAATGTCTACTTTATACTTTTGGATGTTCAATTTAGCCTTTCAATATGCAAGCAAGTAATTTGTCATGTATTTAGATCATGTGAAAAGAAGATGGTTTGTATATATATTAGTAATAGCTAATTCCTCTGAAGAGAAAGCTTAGTAAAAATTGTAATTAAACGTAAAGCATTAACAAAACAAAATTAATAAAGTATTAATTAATTTTACATACCTTTGAATGTTTGCCTCTTCATTGTTTGAAAATGTATTTGTCAGCACTGTAAGCTCCTTACTAAATTAGCAATTTTTTTTTTCCTTCCTAAAATTGTAAAATAAAGTGTTAAAAAAAAAGTTTTATGGCTACTAATTATAATATATAATAATTAGTTGACATCGATGGAAAAATGGTGTCATACGTAGGAAGAAAGTATAAAAACGAAATTTGAATGTAAGAAATAAAAAACAATTTGTAATTCATTATCATGCATTGTTATCTGTTTTATGGTAAACATAAAAGATGAAAGGTTTAAGGAACTTTAGACAATTCTTCTATTACAACATGGAAATATTCTCATGGAAAAAACATAATTGAACCATGGAACTAATTATCTCACAAATAATGATTGTATGGATACCTAAGACAAAACTGAACCAGATTTAAAGAATTGTACAGAGAGTTGTTTCATAGCTTTCATACGATCATCAAATAAGTTTTGCATAATTATGTCCCATAATTTTTAGGAATGAAAGAAACACATATAGCACTCATACTCTGAACTGAAAATATTCTTTAATTTCTTCAGTAATAACGTTGTTAAGGGAGAGAATGAAACTGGAATTTTATATTTTGGAGATTTTAGTGCACACATACATATCACATGTGCACGGAAAGCAGATTGAATTCAAATTGCAATTATATCCTCAATTGGCAATCTAAGATTTTACCATCTAAAAAAGTAGACTTTTACAAATTTATGCAGTTTATTGTTTTATGAAATGAAATCCCTGTCAAAAAAATGTAATGACGAATGAGGAATTACAATTTCATACCAACATGAGCCTTGAAATGTTACATCTATAAATTCTGAGTTGAAGGAACCCAAAAGTTGAATCCGTAGCTTTCAAAGTGATGCAAAATTTTTCCTAAACTATTAAAGGCCAGGCTCATGACACATAATCTCTAAGCAGCCAAAGAAGAAAAAAACTAAAAGCTAAGATATTGTATGTACATTTCAACTACCTTAGGTAAAGCAATGACATAGGCCTGATGTTCCAATGATGCAAAACCTGTAAAGTTGGGCAATTAGAAAAATTAATTCTTTTGGTTATAAATATTCAATTAGATACATTTTAAATAAGAACCAGACAAAAAATGCACACAAACGTGAGTTATGAAGATTGAGACAGCATAGAGGAAATGAAATAGACCTCATCAAGAGTAATACTACTGTAGTTTGTAGAAGGTGCCCAATCCTTAATGTCTTCAATTAGATTCATTTTAAATAGGATCAGCTGCTGCTATTTTTTCGATGTAGGACAATCGGGTCCTAACGTTTCCCCAATAGAAAACTCTAACTCTAAAATATGATTATATATTAGAATTTATAAACAAAGTCAGAGGAAAACATTATGATTATTGAGCTAGTATTGAATAATGGGTACAAAACTGAAACTTTTGGATGGTCAACCTTGTTTGCAGATGAAATTAAGCATCCCGAAAAACCAAAACAAATCAATTTAACATAAAAGTTTGTACTACTCACCTCAAATTGGCCGGAGAACTCATAATGGAATTTCTACCTCGCAATTTTTCCGTAACCTTTTCCATCTCAGTATTTCTAAATAGGACATGGATTCTATAACATTAGTTAAAGAAAAAATTTATCTATACTACACATATGTAGATCAATTCCCAATAAATTAAGATGAAATCAAGGTATGGAATATATTAATTTAGGGTTGGAAAATCACCTCGAAATTTCAATCGACAGAGATTGAGCAAGAAAGCCGAGAGACGAAGACATTGGGAGAGATGGAAGAGAGAGAAGTGATTTGAGAGATGAGAAAGTGAGAGATGCAAAGTCTCTGAACTGGGTTAATTTTCTTGTAAATTTTGTAACACATCTTTAAAAACAATATTCAAAGTACAGTTTTTAACATTACTCTCTACATTTTCTATTAAAATTTTTAAACCTTCTCTTGATGTCACTCTTGATAATGCTACATATAATTGGCCATGTGTAAAAACAGGTTCTGGAAGATATAAACCAACTTGTTTAAGAGATTGTCCTTGACTTTTATTGATTGTCATTGCATAACATGCTCTAATTGGAAATTGACGTCTTTTGAAGATGAAAGGCCACTTATTTTCTGTAGCTGTAAGAGTGATTCTTGGTATGAAAACTTTATGACCAATATTAGTACCAGTAAGAATTTTAGCTTCAATAATTCTATCAAATAATTGAGTAACAACTAATCTAGTTCCATTACACAAACCTGAAGACTGATTTAAGTTTCGTAGTAGCATAATAGGCATTCCTATTTTTAGTACCAAATTATGTGCAGGTAAACCATTGAATTCAAGCTTGTTTAAAAATTCTGTGGGGTACATTATTTCAAGATTTTCAACATTTGCATTTGAAGAACATAAAGAATCATAACTCAAAAATGTTTGTTGTTGTCCAGGTAATAAATTAATTATATAATTATTCACATCTGTAACAGTTGTATTTCGAGGTGTTATAATATCTCTTTCCCTTAAATAAGCAAAATTGTCAAAAAAAAGTTTCAAAACTCGGGTATGTTGCAGAAAAAATTGAATGGATAGCGTTTGTAGAACAATCAATTATCAAATCTTGTGGTATTTGAATCAAAGATGAATCCCTATCAATTGAATTATTCACATTGTTTGCATCATTAATTTGTCCATCACCAATTTGTAGAATCCAATTTGCAAAAGAACTAATTTTATTTTTTTCTTCAATACTCAATCCATTTTTTGACAATCTCATATTTTCTTTCAAATGAAAAATTTTAAAATATGGCCATAAATAAGAACTATTCAATGAAGAATTTATTATATCCTCTTTAGTTCCTTCAGGAATAACAGGTAATATTTGTCGAAAATCACCACCCAATAAAAGAGTTTTTCCACCAAATGGAACATTTTTATCGAAAGCTTGTGAATTTGACAAAATATCCGAAAATGATTTATCCAATGCTTCAAAACAATATTTATAATTCATAGGTGCTTCATCCCATATAATTAAATCTGTTTTTTCAATTAATCCTGCAAGATGAGTTTTTTTCTTTATTGAACAAATTGAAGAATCAGTAATAATCAAAGGGATTTTAAATCTAGAATGGGCTGTTCTATCACCTGGTAATAATAATGATGCTATTCCTGATGATGCAACAGCTAGAACAATTTTACCGTCTGATCTAAGCTTACTTGTAATTGTATCCCATAAAAAAGTTTTTCCAGTGCCTCCATGACCATAAACAAAGAATAGACCTCCTTTTTTTGCATTCACAGCATTTAAAACACAATCATAAACATGTTTTTGACCTTGGTTAAGCTGTGATTTCAAAAGTGCATGTTTCTTATAAAGTTCTTCACAATCATAATTTAATTCTTCTCTCAAAAGCCTATTTTGAATTTCTAACATTTTTTCTGCATTAGGCATGGGAAGATGATATTTTTTCAAAGAGGTAGATGCATTATTAAAAAGTAATTCTAATTCAAATAGCACTGAATTTTTTAATTCATGTTCTGGCACAATCATATCTGGAATTGCAAAAGTTTTTCGCAATTTGTATAAAATGTCATCATACATGTTTTGCCAATGGCTATCAAAAAGATTTTGAGAATTTGCTGCATCACAAAATAAAATTATTGTGACAAACAATTGTCTTAATTGAGCAGACGATGCAATATGTGCAGCACTTGATAAAGCCTCAATCCATTCTTTATCATCACCTAATAGTCCTAATGATTTGCATGCAGAATGGTAGGAAGAATGTACAACACCATTAATTGTTTTTAAATCCTCAAAACTAATGGCGCCTTTTTTTAAATTCAAAAGCATTCTCAAATAATATAATTCGCCAGATGCAGGATGTACATATGCTATTCTGCCAATTGATGCTTTATATTTTCTTGGCTTCCAAGTTTTTTTCTTTACATCATACAAAAATTTTGTGGGAATTTGTGCATAAGTTAGTTCACGCACGTTAGGAAAATTTTTGTTCAATTCAAACCAACTTGTTAACATTGTGTTTTCAAAAGCTTTTTGATTAATGATTGACTGTAGTGATTGATCAGCTGTAAAAACAACATTTTGTTCTAATGGTAAATGAACTGGTAATCGCTCTACAGAAGGCTCTCTATGATGTATGAAGTATTGAAATAGTCTCCAAACAGCCTCATAAGGTGATATATATCTACAATTGAGGTATGCTAAAATCTCATCATTCAAATTTTCTTGAAAAACTAAACGTGCTCTATCTGAACCTTTATTTACATATTTGAATAAATATTTTATAAGCATTGATTAACAACAGGATTCAACATTTATATGTGCATTATATTTTAGTAATAACTCTGCATTGTAAGGAACAACAAATCTATTATCAACTTTTATGCCGTTTTTAATCACAAATTTTTCTTCATCTTCACGACGTTTATAAACAGCAAAACCATTTGTGTCAAAAATTGTTTCGCTTTTATATGGCTTAGGAAAGTTTTTAGAACATTTATTTTCTCGCATGCAAGGTGATTTTGGATTAATACAACCACATGGACCATGAATCATAAACTGATTAACAGTTTCATAAAGTTGTGGATGCAAATTTTTATCAGGTAATTCAGCAGAAATAATTGAGTCTATATCTGATGCGCAAAAACATTTCACATTTGGTTTCAACCATATTAACATATGAGAATGAGGTAAACCTCTTTTTTGAAATTCAACTGTGCAAACATCTGTTCATGAGGAAAAAATGAAAACAAAGAAAAGAATAAAAGTGAATTTTATAATAAATAAGAAAACTAAAAAGCTTGAAATAAGTGCTAGAATGAGTTTTAGTAACTTACTTGCTTGAATTTCTCCAAAAGGCTTCCCGGACTTGATGAAGTCAATCATATGATCAAGCTTCATTTTGAAGATTCTAGAAATTATATCAGGTCTATCTTCAGGTTTGAATCCTGGCTTATTCTCAAACTCTCTTGTGATTTCTGGCCATTTAACATTACATGTAAATGTTATAAACAAATCAGGATGTCCGTATTCTCTACAAATAGCCATAGCATCTTGATAATTATTTATCACATATCTAGGACTTCCAGTATATGAAGCAGGTAATACAATTTTTTGTCCCAAATTATTTGCATCAGTATCACCTTTTGAGAATGCATCATATATCCCTTTATAAACTTCACTTCTCAAATTTTTTTGATTTTGTCTAATATAATCTAATCTATCTTCTTCAAGTGTTGCAAAAGAATCGACCAAATATTGTTGAAAAAGTCTTCCTCCTCTTAACAATGTACTTAATGGTGGTTCTCGCTCTTGAATTTGATAAGCAATGAAAGCTCTCATTGGTATTCTTTGTCTTTTAGTTTTTTTACCCCTATAATTTTCATTCCATTTTAAATTTGGTCTATAACCATCTTCACCATATGGAAAAAGAATTGGATATTGCAGAGACATAAATTTAGGATTCAACTTTATTACACGTTTTAATTCGTGACTTTTAGACTCTATAATAATATCTCGATTAGAATCATACAATCCTATATCTCCAACTATCAAACCACCTATTTCATCAGTTGTAGGTTGCTCATATTGTTTGCTATCGTTTAATTGCCTGCCTAGCAAAGTCATTTTTAATGAAGAAAGACCATCATTTTCAAATTTATCTCTTGCCATTCGAAAAAGTTTAACCAATTCATTTGATGCATCAAACATTTTGATTAACCCTTCTACAATTGTTGGGTCTAGGCTTTGATTGTTTCCATTGGAATTAAAAACTTTAAGTCGATTTTCCACCTCATTATATGTATCATAGACATACAATTGAGCAAATTTTGGAGACTCATTATCAACAGGCAAAAGAGATCCCATTAAATGACAAACTTGACCACTGATTTTGAAAATATAAGGGCTTGATCCATTGTTAATTGAGTTATCAACTTTGGCTCCCATTGAAGTGAATGCAAACATTGAGTTATAAGTTCTAATATTTTGTCGAAATGATAAATTTTTTTGCCCTTTAGTTGGATCAAGTAAGTAATCTAAAAATGGTGGTGCTGGTTTTGGATTTGGAAACTTAATTTTTCCTTGTTGGCAACAAAGAGTGAAAACAGGTAGATCGTTTTTACACTTTGGTTTAAGAGACTCTTTTAGCCAAAAATAAGCACCACAATGAACACACTTATAACTTTTATCTCCTAAGTCAGCATATTCTTTAACAACTCCTGCAAAAAAAGATACAAAAACAAAACAAAATGAGCATAATATTATTTAGGCAATTAGAAAATTGAAATTCATGATATATCAAATTAATAGATGCATAAATTAAGAACTAACCTTTTCTATTCTTTTGAAAAAATGCTTGACCCTTGTTCATAAGATTATTATTCTGATCATCAAAGGTTTGTTGAGTATTTTTTGTAGATTGGTCTAATACATTGACAACCTTTTTTCCCTTTTTATCTCTTAAGAGAACATTTTTTTCAACAACAGTCATGCAATGTGATTCATTGATATTGGAAGAACTTATGTTTTCAACATCTTGTTGAACAGAAGATGTGCTAGTACCATCTTGGTAGTCAATGGCTGAGTTTTCCTGAATAATTGGACTACTCTTAGATAAGAAAACATCGACATAGTTTTGTATACAACTTATTCTACACACTCTTTTAAATTGTCTGTCATATTCAGATAAAACATAGGATTGATTATTGACAAACTCTTTCTCGTGTTCAGTATCATTAATTGGTAAAGCATTTGCAAGTCTTTTTGACATGATGGAATCAAATTGTAATACAAATTTGAAAACAAATTAGTGCAAACCACGCTGGAAAAAAAGAAGTATCAACAAACACATAATGTGAAGATTAAACAAATATATACTATAATGATTAAAAAGAATAGATCACCCAAATTTTAAAATGCGACTGGAAAAAAAAAAGTTATAAAAAAAAAAAAAGAAGATTAAAAAAAGTAAAGTTTAAAACTAAATAATTTAAAATTTAAAATTGCTCACCTTTAACAATTGAAATTTTAGAAAATACGATAGCCAATCTGTTCAAAAAGGCAAACAACAAACAATTATTACAATGGACAATAGAATTTAGTTCAGCAACATATGGCAAGAAACAAAATATAAAACAAATAATAAATAGAACTTAAAAAAATTTAAAAATTAACAAAGTAATAAGATAACTACATTCTTACTTCTTATAGTTCAGTTGTGAAACTATGCACCAATGCAACATGTAACCACAGAGCAAAATTTATTTTGCAGATAAGTTTTCAATGGGAGTATCACTTCTTACTTGTCTTATCCACGCTGAGTGGAAACTGCAAAGATCAACAGTATTAACAATGTTTATTCTTAATGAAAAACAAATTACAAAAAATAAAAAAACCAATTGATTTTTACTAATACATAAATTATATAAATTGATGGCTAGATTATCAAATATATCGTGAGAAAATAGGAGCCCTAAAACTTTTTTAAACAATGGGTGACACAGAATTAACAAATACACCTGTTCAAAGAAATGTATATGTTAACTAAAACAAAAATTGTTATCACAATAGAAAATTGTAATATCACTCCGTCATATTGACAGTTTTTGCAAACATCTAACTTTTTTAATAACACAGTATATGACTATAAAAAAGCATTTTACATATAATTTATCTATGATATTCACAGTTTTACTAAAAACGATAACACAGTTAACTACAAAAATAAAAACTATCTATGGTTCCAAGAATCATGATTAACACAACGTGGAACCGATGGGTTTAAAATGTATAAGCTAAAATTAAAAGTAACTTCTCAGATAAAAAGGTAATATACAGAGTAAAGGACAAAAAAAAAACAAAAAGACTATACTGCATAGATAACATTGATAAAAAAAAACAAAACATTCTATTTTTATGATAATGTACTATCTAGTTATAAAATTATAACATAAAGTAGCTCAACATTATAACTTAAGTAAAGAAATATTTGAAAAGAATGATTCGATATACAATTTAGAGCCACAGTATTAACTACAATCAGACAATTGTCAAACAAAAGGAAGAAATATAATCTTGAACACAATATTAACAAAGTGAAAAGCACTTACAAACACAATCAATTGTCTGTAAACTTGACAGCTGAAAGCTAACTTGGCAGTTAAAATTACAATAGGAACTGAGATGCAACAAAGATTTTTTTTTTTTTTTTTGTTCAACCAAAATTAATCTGCAGATGATTGCAAACAAAGTAATAATTACTTCTCAAATAAATATAAAATGAATTTAAAATATTTCAAGGCTACTTTTAATAACAGCATAATAGAGATAAAGATTTTATCAACATGACTCTCAATTTTATGCAGGTTGGGATAATCCAATTTAAAAGAAAGGGATTTCTTCCCTAATTGTTGTGATAAGAATCACTTAAAGACAATAAGAACCACTCCAATTCATAATAACAGAGTGTGCTTGAACATAAGAGATGCTTATGTGACCTCCGAACTTCTCAGAAGAAATGATGTTGATGCATTAGAGATTCATACAACTGGAAGGTACAGTTTCTTAATAATTGAAAAGTAAGCATACATGTTAACTACTATTAAGCTGATTGAGGGAAGAACTTTTACCACTTCTATGGATGTTCTATGCACTTTAATCTAATTGAGCTCAAAACTTCAACATTAATTCAAGCATAGGTAGTCACACTTTGCTAAGCCTTAATTTCTTCAAACACCAATATTTCCTGCAAGAAAAACCCGAATCACATTAGACAACGGCATTGAATACAGTAAAAAATCAACGAAACAGTCAATGCAATACGAAAAAACTTCAATATTACACCAACCAACCAATCGATGTACAGGAAAACCCTAACCTAAAAGACCAAAATTTTCCAAAACAAAAAATGCAATTAGATGGAACAACCAGACACTAATGTCGGAAAAAAGCAGAAAACATTCCACATAAAAAAACCCACACACCTTAATCGAAAAGGGTTTCCAAGATTGGACAGAGAAACCCTAAAATCGATAAATCAGTATTTCTCGAAACAAAAAATGCAATCAAATTAAACAATGATGCTAAAAACACGAAAAAAAATAGGAAGGAACTGATAAAAAAACGCAAATATTTTAATTTTACACCAATCGGTCTACAAATTTTCTTCCTAATCAAAGAAAAGAGAAAAAGAATAAAATAGACAAACCACCTAAAACACCGCAATCAGCCAGAAAACCCACCTCTTCAGATGGCAAACAATCAACACGAATAGAGAAGCAAGGAAACACGAAGATCAAACATGGAAAAAAGCAGAGAAACAGAGAGCAGGTGAAAGCAAAAAGCAACGGAAGAAAATGAGAGAGGGTTCGAGCACCTTCCCGTATGTAGACTTACTCTACCAAGAGGCAAAATCGCCAATTCATGTAGCATCTTTTAAAGGGCTGAAAACCGTGCGTTAGATCAGGAGCAAAACCGGATTGGCACTGTTAATGAACAATGCCAATCCACTGAGCTTTAGTATATACTTGCTCGCCGATTTCAAATCACTCTAATTCTCATCCTATTTAACGGGTTTTGAATTGCTACGAACTTCTACAATTCTCAAATCACAAAATTTCAATAAGGGCATATGCCGAAACACAAAAAAAATCCATACAATGATCATTTAAGGATTGTGTCACATCCCAGCCCGGGTGGCACCACTTCCCGGGCCCGCTCCACCACCGTAGCACGATATTGTCCGCTTTGGGCCCCGACCACGCCCTCACGGTTTTGTTTCTGGGAACTCACACGAGAACCTCCCGATGGGTCACCCATCCTGGGAGTGCTCTCGTGCGCTACTCGCTTAACTTCGGAGTTCCTATGGAACCCGAAGCCAGTGAGCTCCCAAAAGGCTTCGTGCTAGGTAGGGATGAGAAATACATTTAAGGATCACTTCCCTGGGCGATGTGGGATGTCACAATCCACCCCCCTTAGGGGCCCGACATCCTCGTCGGCACATTCGCGACCAGGGTTAGGCTCTGATACCAATTTGTCACATCCCGGCCCGGGTGGCACCACTTCCCGGGCCCGTTCCATCACCGTAGCACGATATTGTCCGCTTTGGGCCCCGACCACGCCCTCACAGTTTTGTTTCTGGGAACTCACACGAGAACCTCCCGATGGGTCACCCATCCTGGGAGTGCTCTCGTGCACTACTCGCTTAACTTTGAAGTTCCTATGGAACCCGAAGCCAGTGAGCTCCCAAAAGGCCTCGTGCTAGGTAGGGATGAGAAATACATTTAAGGATCACTTCCCTGGGCGATGTGGGATGTCACATATTGACATACAAAAAAAATCCATAATTCAAACTTTAAAATGCAGAACAAACAAAGAAAACCCAAAAGTTAATCATGGCCATTTTTCTTCTTCTAAATTCCGGACAAAAATCAAACCACAGATAATCAGAACAACCAAATCCAAAAATTTCCCCAAAAAAAACCTGAACAACAATAAAATTAATTAGTCTAAACCTTAAACCGCAGCCATATCCTTCCTCAACAATTTTTAAATTTTAATTAAAACACAAAAAAAATGAAAAAAAGGTTAAAGATAAATTATATAACCGTAGCCATATCCATTCGTCGGCAATCTTTCAATTTTAGTTAAAACGCAAAAATTATTAAAAAAAAAACATAGCAGGCACAGATCACATAATCGAAAAGAAGTTTCGCAACTCATGATCATCCATTTGTATAGCTGGAAATGTTTAGCCCTTAATTAAAACACCAAAATAAAAAATTCCTCACTGACAGTACAAAACCGAAACATACAAAGCAAAACCCAAAAATTAATCATCAGTATTCCCTTTTTTTTTCTTCTTTTTTTTTTAAGTTTGAGGGAAAAATCAAAGCACAAACAAAAAAAAATAACACCAAAGAGATAAATTATATACCTGACCCAGAAAAAGCTAGGAAGAATAAAAGCCTAAAACTTGAAGAAAAATGTTTCCTGCAACCAAAATGCAAAATCAGAGATAACAACCAGACGTAGAGCGCGAAAAAACAAAGAAAACGCTGGGCAAAAAACCCGAATAGCCGATATTGTTGTGATAAGGCAACGATGAGTGCGTATTTTAGATAGAGAATCAAGCGACTGGATATTTCGATTTGCCGTTGGAGATTGGAACGATCTGGATGAATTTTGGTTTCGGGATTCTAAGGTTGGATGAACGCAGGTTTTTTTTTTTTCATTCCAGGAGAGATGAAGCAAATGAAAGCAATTGGAAGCGATTGGAAGCCACTGGAAGCAAATAGAAATCCTGACATTAAGGGCCAAATGATCCCGATGACCAACACGTGGAACTAACACGCAGTAGCAGATAAAAGTGGAAAAAGCTGGAACCCTAGAAAACACAACACGCACGCACGGACGGAAAGAAAAATGAGAGAGGGGCAAAGTGGCCAATTCACCATTCAACCCCACTAAAGCTGAAAAAACATGAAGAGAAAGAGGGGCAAAACCGGTGGAGCACTGTTAATGAACAGTGACAATCCACCGGCTTTTAGTATATATAGAATAGAATATAAGAAGCATACCGAGTTGTACAATGCCAGAGGATTGTGAGGACGATTTATACAGAAAAAGTGCATTCTAGTCTCCGTGACGCTTGATTTGATCTTTTTCACAATTTCCATCTCTCTCGTATCCCCGAGACACTTGTAGTTTTGTAACACGATTGAATGAAAATGTATGTGTTGCATTTAGAGTATCTTCAAATAAGATGTCAAATATAACTCTAGTTTGGCTTAGCTTAAATTTAAATGTTTTGTAAACACTTAAAATCAGTTTCTTTTCAAAATTATGGGTGAAAATAAGCTAAAGCCAAAGCTGGAAAAGGTAGCTTTCAAAAATCAGCTTATTTCAACATAACATGGGTGAACAGTAACAAGTTAATGAAATTTTCAATTTTCCAATCCTACCCTCCCCTTTCTTTCTCACTCTGTCTTCCCCATTTTTCCCAGAACCCACCTTCGGCTTCCTTCCAAGACTTCTCTCTCACTTCCATTCTGTGTTTCAGAAAAATCCTTCAGGAATGCAGCCATCTCTTTAAAAAAAAAAAAATTATATTATATTTAAGCAAGCCTTTCCTTTTCCCCTGTTCATTTAATTGTTTTCTACTATTATACAGATCCTAAAACTTGACAGAAAGATTGGAGCTTTCAGCTTGCTACACCAGATCTGCAAGAAGCCATCCTTCCTCCCAATGATCTCTCTCGTTCTCCAGGTCGCGTTCTCCGGCTCGGCGTTCTTCCTGCCATGAACGCACGCCTCAGCTGCAATCGACTCCCTTGAAGCTTCACTGCGTGAGGCTTTCCGTGAAGCTATGGATTCTGCACTCGTCGCCACTGATTTGGCCGTGCACTTTCTTCGTTTCGTCGTGATTTGTCTCTCGTCGCTGGGGGAGAATCAAATCCAACCCTGATGTTTTCTGCTGATGGTGAATCGCACGATCTCGGTCATCCCAAACTTCAAGGACGCAAACAACCAAGATCGCCAGTCAAAGTCCATTTCGTTCCGCCGTTGTTTTCGTCATCACCATTGTTGTGAGAAATCGCAGCTCCGTCCGTCAAGCCACGGTCGAACTCGAACGCTTCAATGGCAGCCCACACCAACAATAGCAAACCATTTTTGAGCAACCAGGAAGCTCCAGCAAGTGTGCAGGGCCTGGGTGTTCCTCTACGGAATGCAAATGCCACCAAATCTACAGGTCTCTCTCAACTAGTAGACCAGGAAACCAATACGAACACCACTAAACATCGCCATGAGGTATTGCGATATTTGATTTACAATTTGTCGATTGGGAAGGCCAAATGGCATTTGCTTCTGTAGTTTATTTTGGCGTATTATCTTGGTGTTATTTTGGTGATGTATGATGTTTTATTGACTGCAATTAATGGATGGGTTAATTGGTACCTTGTGGGTAAATTTGTGAAGAAGAATTTCTATGCATTGCATATGTTTGATAAAATGTGACATCAAGGCTTCTCAGGAAGTCATCTCCAAAGCTTGTTTTCATCTCCTCGTATCAAAAAAGAAAGAAACAAATGGCTTAATACCAATATGCGTAATTAATTACCCTAACCAAAAGAATGAGAATAAAGAGTTAATTACCTCATGAAACATGGATTGGACTAAAATATTTTAATTCAAGTAATTTGTCATACTAATTAATATTTAAAATAAAGTTTATATTTAGTAATTCAGCTTTATTTGTTAAAAAAATTAAATTAATGGCACATCTAGTATTATATCTTTTTTTATCATTTCACACCGTCACAGTTGTTTTATATAAAAGTTTACCAAACACTATAATATTGCTTCTTTTTTCTTTCAAAATCACTTTTACAAAAAAGTTTACCAAACACTCTACTACTTTATTTCACAGTTGTTTATTCCCACATCACAATATAATCAATTTTTTTTCAAGGCACAACAATACCAAATCAGCCCATAACATGTCAAAATTTTATTTTATGGCTGATGTGGAAAATTGAATACAAGTGCTAAATTTTCTTCTTTTCCAATGGATGCGTTAAATATTTATTTTATTGGACCTAGAGTTACATTAACTATTAAAAAATAATCAAAATTAATTGTAGTTTTTATTCTATTGGTTGTTAATGGGACTCATGTATTAAAAAATTCAATTAAATATATTTGACTCCTTCTTTGTTTGCTGTAAAAAAGGCAGCTAGAAAGTAAGGAGTCAAATGACTCACATGCCACATCATAGATAGTATATCCATTGGAGAACATCTAAATGTCTTTTAATCCTATTTAGCATATTTGACATCTGTTTTGGAGATGGTCTTATAGGTGCTATGAAAATTTTGTTTTGTTTTATGCATATTAAAAATAGTCAGTATTCGGTTTAAGAAATAATGATAATACTTGTGTTCAATTCTAGAAATAGTCATTGTTCAATTTAAGAAATAGTCAGTGTTTAATTTAAGAGACAATATTTCTGAAACTACAAAAAAATTACCCACACTATTTCTTAAACTGAAGTAAAATTACACATTATTTCTAGAACGACAAAAAAATAACTTACAATATTTCTGAAGCTGAACAATAATAACCCACACTATTTTTGGAAAGGAACAAAATAAACAATATTTGTCACATCCCCGCCCGGGGTCCACCACATCCCGGGCCCGCTCCACCACTGTAGCATGATATTGTTCGCTTTAGGCCCCGACCACGCCCTCAAGGTTTTGTTTCTGGAAGCTCACACGAGAACTTCCTAGTGGATCACTCATCATGAGAGTGCTCTCGCACGCTACTCAATTAACTTCAGAGTTCCTATGGAACCCGAAGCTAATGAGCTCCCAAAAGGCCTTATGTTAGGTAAAGATGGGAATATACATATAAGGATCACTCCCTTGGGCAATGTGAGATCTTACAATTCACCCCCCTTAGGGGCCCGACGTCTTCGTCGGCACGCTACGGCTAGGGTTAGGCTCTGATACCAAATTGTCACATCTCGGCCCGGGGTCCATCGCATCCCTGGCCCGTTCCACCACCGTAGCATGATATTGTCCGCTTTAGGCCTCGACCACACCCTCACGGTTTTGTTTCTAGGAACTCACATGAGAACTTCCCAGTGGGTCACCCATCATAAGATTACTCCCGCGCGAACTCGCTTAACTTCGGAGTTCCAATGAACCCCAAGCCAATGAACTCCCAAAATTGTAACATCCCACATCGCCCAGGGGAGTGATCCTTAAATGTATGTCCTTACCTAGCACGAGGCATTTTGGGAGCTCATTGGCTTCGGGTTCTGTAGGAACTCCGAAGTTAAGCGAGAAGGGAGCTAGAGCAATCCCATGATGGGTGACCCACTAGGAAGTTGCTTATGAGTTCCCAAAAACAAAACCGTGAGGGAATGGTAAGCCCAAAGCGGACAATATCGTGCTACGGTGATGGAGCGGGCTCTTACCCTGTTGGTCCCACTTAGGCTGGGATGTGACAATTTGGTATCAAAGCTAATCCCTGGCCGGAAGTGTGCCGACGAGGACGTCGGGCCCCTAAGGGGGGTGGATTGTAACATCCCACATCGCCCAGGGGAGTGATCCTTAAATGTATATTCACATCCTTACCTAGCATGAGGCCTTTTGAGAGCTCACTGGCTTCGGGTTCCGTAGGAACTCCGAAGTTAAGCGAGAAGGGGGTTAGAGCAATCCCATGATGGGTGACCCACTGGGAAGTTGCTCGTGAGTTCCTAAAAACAAAACCATGAGGGAATGGTAAGCCCAAAGCGAACAATATCGTGCTACGGTTTTATATTTCTAAAGTGACAATTTGGTATCAGAGCCTAACCCTAGCCGCGTGTGTGTCGACGAGGACGTCGGGCCCCTAAGGGGGGTGGATTGTAACATCCCATATCGCCCATGGGAATGATCCTTATACATAGCACAAGGTATTTTGGGAGCTCATTGGCTTTGGGTTCTGTAGGAACTCTGAAGTTAAGCGAGAAGGGGGCTAAAGCAATCCCATGATGGGTGACCCACTGGGAAGTTGCTCGTGAGTTCCTAAAAACAAAACCGTGAAGGAATGGTAAACCCAAAGCGGACAATATCGTGTTACGGTGGTGGAGCGGGCTCTTACCCTGTTGGTCCCACCCAGGCTGGGATGTGACAATTTGGTATCAGAGTTAATCCCTGCCAGGAAGTGTACCGACGAGGACGTCGGGCCCCTAAGCGGGGTGGATTGTAACATCCCACATAGGCCAAGGGAGTGATCCTTAAATGTATATTCCCATCCTTACCTAGCACGAGGCCTTTTGGGAGTTCATTGGCTTCGGGTTCCGTAGGAACTCCGAAGTTAAGCGAGAAGGGGGATAGAGCAATTCCATGATGGGTGACCCATTGGGAAGTTGCTCGTGAGTTCCCAAAAAAAAACCGTGAGGAAATGGTAAGCCCAAAGCGGATAATATCGTGCTACGGTGGTGGAGCGGGCCCGGGAAGTGATCCACCCCGGGCCAGGATGTGACAATTTGGTATCAGAGCAAATCCCTGGTCGGAAGTGTGCAGACGAAGACGTCGGGCACCTAAGGGGGGTGGATTGTAACATCCCACATCGCCCAGGGAAGTGATCCTTAAATGTATATTCCCATCCTTACCTAGCACGAGGCCTTTTGGGAGCTCACTGGCTTCGGGTTCCGTAGGAACTCTGAAGTTAAGCGAGAAAGGGGCTAGAGCAATCCCATGATGGGTGACCCAGTGGGAAGTTGCTCGTGAGTTCCCAAAAACAAAACCGTGAGGGAATGGTAAGCCCAAAGCGGACAATATCGTGCTACGGTGGTGAAGCGGGCCCGGGAAGTGATCCGCCCCGGGCCGGGATGTGACAATTTGGTATTAGAGCTAATCCCTACCCGAAAGTGTGCCGATGAGGATGTCGGGCCCCTAAGGGGGGTGGATTGTAACATCCCACATCGCCCAGGGGAGTGATCCTTAAATGTATATTCTCATCCTTACC